TATGTTGTGGGCGAAACAAAGTAGTCTGAAAAGTACATTTCTCGTGAGTAACAGCTTGCCCACAGGCTTAAGTGAGAAGAGTCCCATTCTAGGAAATCTCCAAAGGTCAGTTAAGTAATTCACACTGCCCTGAGCCAGTGTGTCAGCTGCTTTTACAGCTAACATGCAGATTATATTTTAGGATGCCAAAGAATCTAATCTAGCTCAATGTTTCTGGCACAGTGAACTTTGGCTGCTTTACATGGGTCATATTTAATTCATTAGTCATTGTCTTAATATTTGCAACAGCAAGTCATGTATCAGACCTAGAGTATTTTTTATTCAAGATGGTTCTTTTACAGACATCAAATAAACCACAAACTCTTCCTTTAATTCAATCCAACAACTGGGAGAGTAAATACTTTCCATTCAGAACGTCCTGTGTGTACGTGTTTGAAATATTCTACATGTACAACGCTTACTGACTTCTAAACTAGTAGGAGGACCATTCAGCAAATGTAGTTGGTGTCAAGGCTCGGTTAAAATTGTCTGCTGAAGCATTACATAGCAGCAGTAATTCTGCACTGATAATCTGAACCCAGAAAGTGTTCAAATGCTGGTCAGAACCATGAAAACTGATCTCACAAACCACTGATATTAGTCAGACATAAAGCTAAACACAAGCTCCACAGAACACAAGAGAGCATTACCAACTGTACCAGGCTGACACACCTTTCATGTGGGATAACCAAACACGAACACCTAATGAGTTGCTGCATTTATCTATGTATCAAAATTCACTTAATTTCTCATCAATTAAATGATGTAAAGCACTTTGTGAAAGAAGCTATATAAATGAAAGTTATTACCATACTTGCTAATCCTTTAGACATGTGATTCCTTTGCTTTTCCCATACAGCAGAAGGGCTTCTGGCTGACCAACTAGTGATGTTCCTTTGAGCACAATAATGAACAATAGATTTTAATTTACAGTATTTCACTTAAAAGCTGGATGGATTCTAGGTCAATAAAAGGCCAATCATAAAAAATATTTTCAGAATCTTAATTGCTACTTTTTCCAAAAGCACCAAACTGCACACCCAACATGCAGTACATTATTCAGCAGAGCATTATTTTCTCAGAGCTATTTCAACACCTATTTAAGATATCAACTCAGTGGCCCTTGTTGCAGGAATAGAAAGAAATGTGGTTGGACCCATGTTCTCATGTTTTAGGATTTCAGTGCTGACACTATTTTTCTGTTTATAAGAAGCTCTCAATGAAGAAATCTTTGGCTCTTCGACTTTCCCTGAAGCCATTTCAAATGATGGACAGGGACAGGCGGCAGATAATGACAGAACAGGCCTTTGTTGACTCAAGGTACCCGCTGAAACAGAGATATGGCACAAGCCTTGCGTATGGATAGATGCATTAAAACATTCCAGGCAGAGACTTGGGTCGTGCAGTGTTTGTCCACAATCTTTTCACCCCTGATAACCTAGGTTTTGAATCTAAGCAAACAGATAGGATTAAACTGTCCTCTCTCAACAAGACTCCCCGTTCAGTACTTTTGGCACTCTCAGGCCAGCTGCCTATGTGCAGGCTCTCATTGTAGGGGTATAATAGTAGTAATATTTTTCCATATTTAGTTCTCCTATTGCTGAACACGATGCCGTTGTTGAATGATCCCATAAAATGATTTTAATTTAATAGCATAAACAACTTCACCAATGGACAGTTAACAAAAATATCATTGGCTAACTCTCTGAGAACATATGCATAAATCCACTGAAATAGTTTTTACGTTACAAGAAAAATAATTGATACAGAATGTCAGAAAAATGCAATACAAATTTACATTTATATGGCACCTTTTATGTCAAGAGGATGTCCCACAGTGCTTGACAGTCCTGGCTTGGCACCTGAGCTGGGGGTGACAGCCGAAGGAGGGAGGAGGAATATGATCAAAAGCACACTTGAAACTGTCTTGAAACGGACCTTGAATGAGATGAGGGAGGGAGTGAGTCAAGGGACTCTGGGATACACTTAACGAGTTGATCAAGGTTGTTTTCATAGGACATGGGACAGACATAATGAGTTGTTTTAAGAAGGCATCTGTACAATTTCTCCTTCATGGATTATCTTGCAATAATCTTACAATAGAGGCTAATGAGCAGCTATGCATTTTAAAAAGGACTGCAAATTCAGTCTTTTGTGATAAGAAAGCAGAGCTGCCTAGTGCAAATACAGTACCAATAATCCCAATTTCAATTAGCTACAAGTGGTAGGCAAGAAGGAAAGCTAATTTCCAACTGAAACAGCATTTAGCAACAAAATCTCTGGACATTATCCAAGAGTGGGGTTTGAAATCAGAGATGATGAACTGAGACAACTGCAACCATGAAATGTTTAAGCTTTATTGGTCGGTGGGATTGATAAGCCAAACAATCTGCCACACAGTTTGTGTGAACAGAAATTGATGCAGTTCCTTAAGCACCAGGCTTCACATGCAACTGGCTGGCCCCATGAAGAGGCAAGCCTTATGAAGGATTTTAAAATAAAAAAAAATGACTATTATAGCACTGACTGCTGACAATACTGTAAAATACCCCAAAGGTGTCGTGCAAACAAGGTCACTACTGCATTTGCAACAGCTACGGAAATTATTTTTGTAGAGGTTCAAAAATGATACAAGTTCAAATTTCAAAACTAACAGTGAATTCTTCCAGCCATGATGGCCATTCCTCGTACACATACCTCACCCCTTGATTAATGCCCTATCTTCACATAGAACTCTATTAGATACCTACGTCTTTCAACGCATCACACTTTTAACAATTTCTATGCTGTCAGATGGATGCAAATAAAGGCAAGTGTTACTCGATCAGATTAGCACGAGTTGTGTATTTTGGTATGGGCAACTATCATACTCAACAGGTTACTCATGAATCTCTTTCTAGAGAAGTACACTATGACATTAAACTTAGATCTATTAATAAAATACAGTACTATATTTGTGAGTGATGAAATAACTAAAGCACGAAATTCAGAAATTATTTTGCAAATTTATTGCTACTCTAGTTTGTGTGTAAATACACACAATATTTGTCAAGAATTTCCCAGTTGAGGGTCAGAGAAACAAATTCAAATGGCAGGAGTTAAAACTTGCATGAAAAACATGGGTTCTCTGTGTGTGAAGGTTACAGTGATATTATTTTTAACAATTTTACTTTTTACAGATATGATTTACGTTCAAGTGAGAAGAACGACGCAAAAATAAAGTAATATTGGGCCAAAAAATGTAATATTAATGTCAAAAATTATATTAATGCCAAGCTAAAGCAATAAATCATGTACTGATATAACAACAGCCAATATTCCACATATAATGCTCAATGTGAATTTATAGTGCTTAAAGTATTTGCTGTTAAAAATAAACTTTAACTGTGGAGTTGGTGAACAGCATAGAAACGTATCAGTTTTTGTTTAACTTGAAGTTACAATTTATCTTTCATTTTCCTATAAACTTCCTGCTCTATTTATTGGTTTACTTCACATTTCTAATATTAAATAAAGTTAAAGAGAATTAGAGAAAGTTTAACAACATTCCTTAACCCATTCACTGCAACATGATTTTAATAAGCAATGCCTACTCTACTACAGTAAGTAGATATGAAATTCTGCCCAGAACGCAAACTCAGGGCAATTAATACCAAATAATATAATACTGACCCTTGGATTTGTTATATAGCCTATAATGTCAAAATGTCTTAAAGTAGGGAATTACTTTTAAGTGGGGTGACTATTTTTAGGCAAGTGTTGCAGCCAATTTGTATACAGCAATGTCCCACCAACAGCCATGAAATGAATAACCATTTTATCTGGAGGGTAGTTGGCCATTTATCTGAAGGTGCTATTCTTGATAATGAATTTGCTAAATTGCAATTTTAGATGTAAATTTTCAGTACTTGAGAGATAATAAAAAGAAAAAAAACTAAACAGTTATCATGATTCTATAGTTGAGATATCCAAGTTGTGAATTTCTATGGCAGCAAAATCGCTAACTCACTTTTACTGCAGCTGTAAACAAATATGAATAACTTCCTCACGAGTGAAAGAACATCCGGAATGCCATGGTCTCCTGTTCTTTAAGCATGGCTGAGCTCTGCTTTAGAATCACTGTAGCACAGCACACATAATACAGGTGGTATCTTTAGATCAACCCATTCAGTTGGAGTTTGAATATAAATCCATGATTACCCCACTGTACTAAAAAGCCATTATGTTTTTTTTGAAGTAAATGCCTTAGTCACCTTTTGGAAAAAGTCACATAGGCGCGGAAGGGCTTTGGGCTAAGTCATCCTATTAAGTAGAACAGAGGGAGGTTTAAGTTACTGTCTTGTCAAACATTGCTATAATTCTAACCCATGGTACACCTGACTTGGGTGTAGTTGACCATTTTAGCATGTTCTCCATTTCCACTACAAACGAGATCCAAATGATACAAAATGTCATCACCCGTACCAGGCTCAATTCTTGCCAGGCTCCACTGGCTTCCTGTTGCAGAACAGATTGATTTCAAAATCCTCATTCTCACTTTCAAATCACTTCACACCCGAACTGCTCATACCTCACTCCACCACTGCTCAGCCGGCTCAGGTCTTCTGCACGTCCCTCATCCCCTCTGCTCCAACATTGGTGGCCGTGCTTTCAGCCACTGTGACCCGATCACTGGAACTCCTTGCCTCACCCCCTCATTGCCCATCTTTAAATCAAACCTTAAGACTCTCCTCTTCAACTGCACCTTCGGTCACCCTCTCTATCCAGCTCAGCATCAAACCAAACCACTATCATGCACTCTGAGATGCTATTTGTGTGACGGACAACATTATTGTTGTTGTTCACCAAGAGAAAAAGCTCCGTTCCACAGAGTCCCTCCCAAATAATATCAATACCAAACCTATGTTTCAGTGGGTAAGCTGGAATAAAAAGTTACATATTCACGGTATATGAAAGGATACTCTTCGTTGTTGCGAATATCCACCGCCAGGATTTTTGGCTTCCCCGACTTGGACTTTTTGTTGAGCAGCTTCATGTTGCTGGATCCTGACAACTCGCACAGATCGATGAGATCTTCTGCAGAAATCCGCGGTGATACTTCGGCTTTCAGTTCATTCAGTTTAATAGATTCACGAGACTAAAAGAAAAGAAAGAACTTCTGCTTAGAAACCAGTTCAGTACAAACTGCATCAACTGCAGCATAACTGTTAACTTCAGAATTTTTGTAACAATAATCCGGCATTTGATACAGCGCCTTATCAAAGCACTTCACAAGTTATATTGTAAAGTGAATTGATATATTTTGAGGGCGAACGAAACGCGGCAGCCGATTGCACACAGCAATGTCCCACAAACCAGTCGTGGATTGAGTGCCCAAATTATAATTTATTTAAATTTATTATTGTTATTATTTTTAGTGATCAGTTTGAAACACAATAATGATATTTCCTTCCAAACTGGATATATTATGGGTTTATGCCTCCCTTATTCCAAACATCAACTGCTGATATATGCTGACAGGACACCTTGATATTCTATCCTTGCTCAGAGATGCAACAGTGCCTTCTTATAAATCCTCAGCAGAAAGAACTGATCAAGCTGTATAACCCAGTAGCACATGTAAGCAGAGCAACAGGTTCCCAAATGCACGGTCACAATGCACAAGAACAAGGGCTATCTGTCATTATTAGGAGTACACAGCCTCGACATTTAGCTCAACCATTAAACAGGGCACCATTTTGTGGGGAGAAGAATAATTGTTCCCCATTTGATTATAAGGGAAACTCCAAAGCAATCTATAAATGGGGAAAGGTTAGAAGTGGGTTTTCTAACCATATATCGCCATAGGTTGCAACCTCTTTGAACTCATGGAGCTCTCATTGTTCAAATGAATGTCAGAAATGAAGTGATTCTGACAGTGCTTTTCAAGAATTAGTAGGTTTAGTCAGGAAGTGAGGAATTCCAAATGCTCCCTTTCTGTATAAATCAGGCTAAAAGCAGAGTGGCAATTCCCACTGAAAACTGGGTGAAAAAATAACACCAGCTGTTCACTGCCAGCGCAGACTGTATAATCTTCGAAAGCATTCCATTAGCATGTTACTGACATTCATAGCGTATGAAAAAGCAGCAGCACGTAAGGGATGTGAGAGATGGAATATGGATGTGTGAAGAAATAAAAGCAGACATACCAGGGCCACCAGGGAATCCAGTGATACCAGAAAACTCCCAATAGATGACCGTTAACTTCTGGGATGTTAATTATGTGCATAGTAAGTCATTCCACGGAAAAGAGCATTCTTATGAATGTTATTTTCAGTTTGTTGTCTCGGTTATGGAGTCTCCTTTTTGCAATGAAGTTACAAAGAAGTAGTACACATGCCAACTTGTAGCATCGATGTCAAGTGAAAGTAATCTTCAACAATGCAATGGAGTTAGAGTAATACAGGGTGACCAAAAAGTTGTGGTACCATTCCAATGTCTAACATGTCTTAAAGAAATGATGATATATGTATTTTTTTAGACAATAGAGTAGCTATCATGACTTTTTGGTTACCCTGTATAATAGTTTAATATAGTGTCTTTCATATCAGGAGGCGATCTCAAAGTGCTTCACAGGATTTACCATAAGGTCCAGTAACTGTGCATTTTTGTAGGCATCTAAAAGGATTGTGCAGCAACAACACAGCATGCTTTGGTGGTACTCATCTCCAGGTATCACATAGCTACACTTTTATCATGGAATCTAAACAGGAGCATCTAAACCTCTTTTCTTTCTTGTTCCCAAATTGGCATAACACAACAAAAAAGTCTAAAGTTTTAAAAGGAAGTCAATCAAGGTAAGGAGCATTTCTCCTCAGTATGAGAATTTGTTGCTGATTCAGTCTTGCACAGTTCAGCCATGCAATGGAGATGCTTTCCGAAAAGGCTAAGATTAATTACAATTAGCCTCAATTTTAGATCTACAGAGTTGGATACGTTGAAGGAGATGGATTTCAAGCATAGTTTCAGGTTATATGTTATTTTTTTCCAAGTGACATCCAGCTCTCATATCATTCAATCAGTGATTAACTTAAGCAGAGGTATGGATGTAGTGGTTCCTATTACATAAGCAAGCTCCAATAGTAATCCTTGCATTAATAAACAGGCAATGGGTTGATTGGAGCGCCGTTTAATGGATAAGCCGGATAAATCATAAAAGATATATGGGAGGATTTTTTTTAAAAAGAAGATTTCATGTCACTTCTTGCTGAGCCTACCTGGACTGTATTCAACATTAATACATCAGAAACCATAAAAATAATAATCATCCTTGCATTTGATATAGCGCTTTATCACATCGTTGAGATGTCTCAAAGCGCTTCACAGAATATATTGTAAAGTGAATTGACTCTGTATTTTGTTGGTGAAATCCGGCAGCCAATTGCGCACAATAATATCCCACAAACAGTCATGGAATGAGTGAACAATTTTTTGGGGAGGGATTACTCCCAGAAAGCGATATGCCAATTGACTAACAGCCAGGTACTGCTAGCTAAACAAAAGCGGGTGGAGTGAGGAAACTTGCCTAAGGTTTCGCCCCACCCGGGAATCAAACCTGGGTCCTCTTGCTTGTGAGGCGAGCTTGCTAACTACTACGATACGGGACTCTACTATATTATCTTCCACCGCCTTCTATTTAATTCCCTCTAAAGCCTCACCTTACCCATGCAATCTTCTTTAACCCTAGCCTCTTCCAATTTTTATTCATAATTTGCTCTCCACACCACCATCAGTAGTTGAGCATTCAGCCACCATACTCCTGTACTGTGGAGCACACTTCAAAGCCCACTTTGCCTTGCTACCTTTCTTTCTACTTTCTAAAAACTCCTAAAAACACCTCTCTTTGTATAAGCCTTTGGTGAACATCTTAAAATCTGTTGTACCATTGCCTGATGTGCATCACTACATTTTGTTAAGTGTGCACAGACTGATTATTGCGTGCACCTATAAAACACAGTCACTACACTTTACTGTGAAGCACAGTGAGACATTCTCCTGATGTTAAAGGCGGAATATCATATGTAAGGATTTTCTTTGGTGTAGAAGTTGTATACAGACATGTTGTTTCACGTCATTGAAATGTGATCCTAAGATACAAAGTTCTCCTTACATGTAACAAGAGAAAAATTAATATCAATGCTGGTAAAAATAATCTCCAACAACCAAACTTTAAAAAATACTCTGTATAATCTTCCACTCCACAGAACATCAATTCTTCTCCAAAATTAATTCACATAACACAAAGATAAATCTTAACCAAACTATCAAAAAAAAAGACATCAACCAGCATTGGCAACCTCTTCAAAATGAGCTTGGTAAACTCAAGTAAGCAATTAGCTTTGCTGTGAAATTATCATGTAACTTGACAAAAATATTTGGGCTCATATTTAGAAGAGGAAGGTAATGCAAACATACAACGTATCACAGTGGTTTATACTGTTGTTGGTATAACAGCTGTTGCAGGGCAAACTGTTTAGCATGGTCAATCCAGCAGCCCTGAAGTGAAGGTTTTACAGCATGGTTTGCTGTAGGGTAGGCCTTCAAACTATAATGATCAGCATAGCGAGAAAGAATGGGCATTTTTATACAGCCTTATCATATCAAATATCTCAAAGCACTTCATAGCTAATTATCATCAAGTTAAGTGACTGCTTTTTAAGCCAAATTCAGCAGCCATTTTGCAAACAACAAGGCTTCTGAAAGAGCCACGAAGACAACAACCATTTATATGGAGGACAGTTGGCTAGTGCCATGGAACAAACTCCCTTCTCTTTTTAAATAGTATTATTGGATCAATAAAATCGACCTGAAATGGCAAATAGGGCTTTGGTTCAACATTTCATCTGAAGGACAATACTTCTGATAATGCAGCGCTGCCTCCATTACTGCACTGGAGTTCCAACCTAGACTGAGCTCAAAGTCCTGATGTGAATGAACCTACAACCTGTCAAATCAACTGAGCTAAGATGACACCAACAAAGAGAAGTCAGTCAATAGATGCAAGAGCACTGCACCTCCTGTTGTCCTTAAGAGAAGCACATGCAAAATAGAACAATTCACACCATGGCTAGTTTATCTCGGTGAATTCATCATTGCAATAAATCAGTTAAAGTAAACCCTCATACACGCTTTCATTACATCGAGGCTCAACTACATAAACTCATTGCTAGTCGGCCTCTCCAACTCCTCTCTCCACAGGCTGCAGATCATCCAGAACTCTGCAGCCCGTGTCCTCTACCGTACCAGATTCTGCGACCCTATCACCCCCATCCTTGCCCAATTCCACTAGCTTCCCATTACACAGAGGATACAGTTCAAGATCCTGGTCCTCACCTTCAAAGCCCTCCACGGTCTTGCTCCCCCACCTCAGAGACCTTCTAACCCCTTACCATTCTGCTCGTTCCCTCCACTCAGCGGGCTCTGGTCTACTTCCCCCATCTCGCTCACCCCACTATTGGCAGGTGGACCTTCGCCACTCTGCCCCCACCCTCTGGAACTCCACCTTGCAGTCCTTCCGCCTCCCCCCTCTCTTGTCACCTTCAAGACCACCTCAAGACCCTCCTCTTCGATCGTGCTTTTGATCTCCCTGCTTCCCCCCCCGCCGTCCACTCTCCCTGACACCAACCCCCAGCTTGGGTTCGTAACTCTGTCTGTCCAGCGCCTTGGGACGTCCTCCTGACGTGAAAGCTGCTTTATAAATGTAATTTTGTTGTTGTTGTTGTAAACCATCTTGTTCTCAGGTTGAAAGCAATCACCAGTAATACCTTCACAGCTCGGTTTTTTGCCATCCTCCAAGACCTTTAACTCATTCTGGAGGCTAGTAGAAACCCCAAAGAATTGAAATATTTTCATTGCAGGTAAAGCATTTAGATAAATCAATACACACATGCTGCTAAAAACTACCATCATATCCATCTCTTTTCTAACCAGGCAATTGCCTAATTCATCTCTCTCACCTCCTAACCCGTCCCTTCTCAGCATGTCTGTACAAAGCCGTATCAAAGACAACTATGAGAAAGAATACAGGTCCAAGAAGAAATCAGTTTCTAACCAAAATAAAACACTGAATCGGAGTGAGGATTACATTCTCTGATTTTG